TCTACTTCTTTTGTATGTTTGTCACTCTCTTGTGACCCGCTATTTCCGGGTGCCTTGATAGTCGAAGCAGACTTTGTGCTGTTAAAGCTAGAGAGGTGAGCAGAGTAAGTCTGATTCCCTGTAAAGACTTCTCTGTTGACACCCACCCCTTGGCGCTCATATGACCTTATGCAGTTGCGAGCGCCGTAAAACCCTCTACTATAATAATAAAAAGAAAATCTACACGGAAATGTTTTTAAAGGGACATAGAAGGTGCTGAGCCCCCCCCCTCCCCCCAAAAAAAGAAAAATTGCCCAACAGACGGAAAAATGTCGGTTTCTTCGATTTTATTATTTTGACGAGCACCTGATTTCACAGCCATGACACACGTACGTCCACAAACTTCTGAGTTGATCATGAGGAAAAGAGCGAAGTGACTGTAGATTACTCTTCTGAAACCATAATGCAAAATGGATGATATATAGATGTAGTGTTAGCCCACCATTAGTCAAAGTCACAAAGTCCGGTGCTATTTACTGTGAGATTTGTTTGCTTCATTAAGTGACCACAAGACATTTATTAGTGAATATTAAGTTGCGCGCTTCGTCATGCAAACTTTTGCAGAACTTTATTTGTTCTTTGTTTTGAAGAACAATTGAAGTTGAGTTTGGTGTGTCGCTGTTTGCCAAAATGTATTAAAATATTGGAGGATTTTGATGCTGATAGTTTTCTTGTTTTATTTCAGTAGTTGTAGTAGTACCGGTGGTTGTTTTCTCAGTGTTTGTTTTCATTTTCTTTTTTCTGTTTTTCTTCTTCTCTTTCTCCCCTTCGTCATACTCCTTCTTCAGTGCATGTGCACTGTTGGTTCCTGAAAATAGCTGAACTTGGAAGTCTTCTTACTAAACTGGTGTCTAGTGTCCTAATTTATTTCAAGATCTGTTTATCTTTTTTTACTGCTTTTGTTGTTGCCTCTTTTAAATACTTTTTTTTTTTTTTAATTCGTTTACATCCAACTGTTGTTTATTTCCCTTACAGCACTCCTACCCCCAGCCGTGGGTGGTTGGCGGGTGCTCTGGTGTGGTTTGCTTCTTCTTTCCTATCAAACATCTATCATCACCTCTAATCTTCTGCACTTATATGACCTTATTGTGTTGCAAGTGCCGTAAAACTCATACAAAACAAAAATACCCCCAGCCAGTGTTTGGGTGTGGGGAGGGTTTTGATTACTCTTGTTCCCCTTTTATGGGTGGTTGGCGGTTGCTCTGGTGTAGTTTTCTCATTCTTTCCAATCAAATGTTCTATTGTCCTTATCTCCCCTTCTTTTTTTTGAATGTCACTTTTTGGAACACTTACACCTCAACTCAAATGTTTGGCACTTATATGACCTATTAGTGTTGCAAGTGCCCTAAAACCAAACCAAAGAGACCTGTGTTAATGGAGAATGTAAATCCTCTCAGCATATTGAGAATTTTCTCAAAACTCAAAGAGGCTTCTTCCCTGCACTATTATTATAGTGTCAATGTGTTTCTCTTTATTGACACTATATAAGACCGTTATTGTGTCAATGTGCTTCTCTTTATTGACACTATATAAGACCGTTATTGTGTCAATGTGCTTCTCTTTATTGACACTATACAAGACCGTTATTGTGTCAATGTGCTTCTCTTTACTGACACTATATAAGACCGTTATTGTGTCAATGCTCTCTTTACTGACACTATGTAACGGTCATTGACACGACAAGACCGTTATTGTGACAATGTGCTTCTCTTTACTCAAACTCTAAACTCATGGAATAAAACTGCTAAGTACTTAGTGTCATCAATCATAATATCATCACCTTCATAGTTGGACAGGGGGTTCTCATGGCCTAGAGGTTAAGGTGTTCGCCTCTCATTCAAAGATCCCGAGTTCGAATCCAGGTAGCAACCGAAAAATTTTCTTCTCTAAAATTGTCTCCTTTCACCTCCCTTCCTGCTCTCTAGCTAGCAATGTACTATCTGTCGTCTTCTTTTTTCGTCTCCACTTTCTGTCCCCTCCCCTTTTGCCCCCTCCTCTGGGCTCCTGACTCTCTCTGCAGCCTTTCTACTGCTTCTCCTTGGCTCCTTCTTTTCCTGTCTTTCAGCCACATCCCTGATCTTCTGGGAGGAAAGATCTACACCTAGCCTTCTCAGACAAGTGCGAAATATCTCGGAGGGGCCGTGTGCAAGTTGCTTGCGTTAAAGATCCCCTGATTGTCTAGAATTGATAAGAGTAGGGTAAAATTCAAAATTTCCTACCAACCGAAAAATGTTTCATGTCCCCGCGCACGCATGTGACCTTATGCAGTTGCGAACGCCGTAAAACGTTTACCAAAAAAAAAGTTGGACATGTTGGAAAAGGTTAGGTTAGGGGAAAAATGAGGGAGGAGTAGTAGAATTTAGACCATTTTTTAATCTTGTACCATTTAGGCGTACAATGCACTACGAAAATGTAGAGCAAAACACATGCAAGTATTATACTTTATATAAGCACAAAGTTCTAATTTTTAGTGTAGAAAAGATAGACGAAAAATGAATTATCTCGTTTTTGTAAAAGTGTATTCTCAGTGTCCTATCATTTTTACGTGACTGCCTTGTGGTGAAAGCCTGTAACACAAATGAACAAAAAGCAAAAAGAGGTCTGAATCAATTTGAAAAGTCAAAGCGCATCAAGAACACAAGTTACCATGGCAGAACTGGACTTAAAAGTAATGGACCATAATAGAAATTCTTAGTGAAGGGAAATAACTCTCAACATTGACTACCTCAGGGGATATTGTTGTATTTTCCACGTTGGCTGCGCATGCGCTTGCCAGCAGACCAAGGAAAAGTAAACATGGCGAATCAAGGTGTTGATCAGCTCTTCGACATTCGAGCAGCATTTCTTACGGGAAATTATCAACAGTGTATCAATGATGCTCCCAAACTGAATGTGAGTAGATCTACAAATCTAGTGTTTTTTCTGTTTCTTTCCCATCAATATAGATCTAATCTTTTATAAGGGGTTCCCGTGAATGACAGTGCCATCGACTTCGTGTGGCTTGTTTTGTTCGGTATTCTCTCGTCTCTGCTTGATCTGCAGTCTGCGGTGCCGGTTAGCAGTAAGTTAGGAGCGTATTACAATGAAGCGTCCCTATTCAATATGATCAGGGATGGCTTGAGGTTTGTAGGTCTATCACTATCATGACCATAAGCCTACCTCTGTTGTTATCACCACCCCCCTCCCCCGGCCCTAGCCTACTTCCTACCTACCACTACCACACTCCACACATCATGACACATATACACACACACACACATGTTGTCACACATACACTTGCGAGACACCACACACACGCAGAACCTTTTGAGGACATGGACCCGGCTGGATTGTACTTTACCGGACCACCCGTCTCGGCCCGTGATTTCTACGCATGCCTAGCCTAACTACGCACTCATAGAATCTAGTTCTCTACACTACGTGCGGACTAAGTCTAAAGAGGTAGATCTAGATCTAGTTCCGCGGGCGACTTCGCGCACAGCGCAAGCCCGGCAAGGCGAGGTGAGCGAGAGGTGATGGTTGAGGGTGGGTAGGGGATTTAACCTTGGTGGACCACCATGTCACATGGCATGTGTGTGTCATACTTACTAGCGGGGGGGAGGGGGGGGGGGGGGGGGGGGTGGTGTTCAGCTGGAAACAACAATACAGAAAACACACAAACCCAAAACAATCACATGAGCGGACAATCGTGTTTACATAGCGAAATGACAACAGTGGGGGGTTTCAGGGGGCCTAGCCCCCCTGCCCCAGGCAACAATAATTTAAAAACACACACACACACACACATAAACAATAACATGAGCGAACCACGGAGCTAAGTGGACAATCGGGGTAGATCTAATTAGAGTTGGAACAGGCCGAGCTTTGCTTCGCAGCACTCGCCAAGTCACGAACAGGGCCGAGGGGGTTGCAATTATGCAAATGAGCTCTTGTGCGCATCTCTCACCCTCCATTGTACTTTGCCGGACCAGGAGTAGGCCCAGCCTAGCAGAGTCGCGAGCAAATTAATAGTGGACCACGTGAGTAGATTGAGCAATTAGCCTCAAGGTGTCAGGGTCGTGGGTCAAAGGGCACGGTGGCATAGTCGTGATGACTGAAAAACCCGGTAAGAGACGTCAGTCGGTTGTTAGCAGTCGAAGGGTGAGGACTTAGAAGACTGAGTAGGGAAGCTCGGAGAGGAAGAATAACGGACCACTAGGCACCAGGGGCACCATAGCGAAAGTAGTTCAGACTGGTGGTCCGGTAAAGTACAATCTAACCATGGTCCCCTTCCACTAAAATCTTTTAAACTCTTTTTCGATGTATCGCCAATATCCAATCGGCGCGTGGCCACACCTTGCGGACGTATCACCGATATATTGGCAGGGAGGATGAGATGCCTCAGTTTTGTTTAGTTTTGACATGGTCCATCATGTAGGCCTATTGGTACTTTTTATTGTTATTGAAAACTTTGAAAGGATTTAGGAAACACAAAAATCTAGTTTCATTTGGCAAAGCGTCTGGCGATAAATGAGGGAATTCATTCTCTTTCAGTCTTGTATTGACGTAACGATGTAAGTAATCAGACTCAGTAGAAATACCAAACTCAAACAAAAATTGGATTTCTTTTTTAATTTTATAAAATAAAAAGTAGTGCTTTCAGAATTTATTGGATTATGCTTTAGGCGTATCTACTATAATATGATTTGATAGTTCTGCTAATTTGCTTTCATTTGTTTGGTGAGTGTAATTTTTTTCCAGTTTTAAAATGTATTTTTCTCACTTGTAACTCATGACTATGTTAAAAATTAATCCTTTTTAATGTTTGATGTATTCCTCATTCAGTTTCCTTCAATTATATCATGAGTGATTGACATATATGCTTACTTTATGAAGTTATTTTGTACATAACCTGCATAGCCAAATCGAGCCACAGGTTAATTACGTCTAGACCCAAAAAATCTACGTCCGGAAAGAGTTAAAGACCTAAAAATGTGATAGTTTTAAAAAAACAGCTGGTACTGAAACTGTTATAATCAAGACAATTATGTACAATTAACACACGTAGGTAATCAAACATTCTTCAAACCACTTCTCAGAGTACGGGGGGGGGGGGGGGGGGGTTTAAAGTGGGGAACTGTGTCATTTGCTAATGATGATAGAATTTAGTCTCTGGTTGAATTGAGAGTGGAAAAGGAGTGTTGGAGGGGGGGGGGGTGTTATTGTTTTGAGCCTTGGCTCTGCTGAGTGCCTCTCGCAAGTTACTAACACTCTCTTTTATTCATTATTGAAATTCCCTCTATGTTGTACGATTTTGAGGAATGATACTTCATCAATATTGGGGGAGGCTCTCGTAGCATAGAGGTAAGGTGCCTCTCTTTCAATAGGTCCTGGGTGCAATACCTGACAGGAGCGGAATAATATTCTTCTCAAAAAGATGTTCTTCTTTCACATCCTTTCTTGCTTTGTAGTCTGATTTTATCTCCACTTTCTGCCCCCTCACCCCCTTTCCCCCCTCCTCTGGGCTCATGACTCTTTTTGCTGCCTTTTCACTGCTGTTCCTTGGCTCCTTACTGCTGTCTTTCAGCTGATCTTATGGTAGGTAAAATCTAAAACCTAGTTTTCTTGGATAAGGGCAAAAAAAATTTCAGAGGTCTTGTATGCAAGTTGTGCAAAATTGTTGCGTAAAATTCCGAATTAATTCCTACTGGACCAAAAAATGCTGTGTCCCGTGCGCTCAATTATTTTATGTGACCATATGACCCTATACAGATGTGAGCATGGTAAAACACTTTACCTAAAAAAAAAAGAAAACTATGGATGCTCGAAATCATGAGGTAACCATTCATGCAATTGGAATAAAGTGGGCCAATGGTCAGTAGGTGGACAATGGGTAGTAGTTCTTCTTCTGCTCATTAAATTCATGCTGTAGTTTTAGTCATAGTAGAGTAATTTTTAGATCATCTACCCGGGATATTGCAACTCTCTAACTTGTCCCCTTCCTCAATTTCCTGTCCTGAGAAGTTGGTCTCTGTAGACTTATCACTTGTGTCTTTTTCAGTCCCTTCCTCTGTCGTAACTATCTGTTGACCGCCTATTCCTTCCTCTGTCGTAACTATCTGTTGACCGCCTATCCCTTCCTCTGTCGTAACTATCTGTTGACCGCCTATCCCTTCCTCTGTCGTAACTATCTGTTGACCGCCTATCCCTTCCTCTGTCGTAACTATCTGTTGACCGCCTATTCCTTCCTCTGTCGTAACTATCTGTTGACCGCCTATTCCTTCCTCTGTCGTAACTATCTGTTGACCGCCTGTTTCTTACTCTGCTTAAAAAGCTGTTTTCAATTGATGTTTTCATTTTTCTTTGTACCCCACTCTCTTCATAAAGAAAGCAACACAATTTTCTTTCCACTGAATAGTTTTGAAATATAATGTTGGTTGTTATTATTTTCTTCTTTTTTTCTTCTTCTTTTTTTTAGGTTGGTGCTGAGCTGAAGACCGACCGAGATGTGTTGATGTACAGAGCATACATAGCTCAGAGGAAGTATGGAGTTGTTCTTGATGAGGTCCGATCTTCCAGTCCTCCAGAACTACAGGCTGTGCGAACTTTTGCTGAATACCTGGCAAATGAGTCCCGAAGGTAGACTTATAAGCTACTCCCTTTTCTATTATCTGTTTGCAGTGGCTGAATTTTGCTATACAAAAGGCTTTTTAATGGCTGCATCGATCGACATGCGGTTTTCGCCAAAAGATTCTTTAAAATATTCTCCAGAGCATGGTGCCCTTCGTTTTTTCAATTTAGAGACAGTTTTGCTGCAAAAAGCTAAATTTCTTTATTTCGCCGATCGCATTTGTAGGCCGACGCTTCTGTCTTTGTAATTTCAGAAAATCCGGAAGTGATATTTTGCGAGGCGCTGCACAGTGGCGACCGACAGTGGCATTGTTTGTAAACTGTTCTGTATTTTGTGTAATTGTGTGTATTTATGTATGTATTTACGCATGTATGTATTTATGTATGTACGTATTTATAATTATGTATTTATGTATGTATGTTTGCCATTGTAAAAAAAAGTGCCCTTCTGGGACAAATAAAAGTGTAATTTATTATTATTATTATTATTATTGTTTTGAGAGTATAGATCTAGACCTTATAATTTTTTGAATCTCTCAAGATTTATTGCCCCATTCCAGTAGAGTGTAAATATAGTAGGCCAATGACTTTTAGTTAATATTAAAGCACCGATCGTTCCTTTCATCGAAAGGGGGCCCAGCTTGTATTAATTCAATTTCCCAACCGGTGACATTGTTGAATATCCCCTGACTTCGTTACGTTGAATATCCCGGGACTGTTTGTCTTTTGCTCAGGGATGCCATTGTGAAGGAGCTTGACTCTCAGATGAGTGGGAATGTTGATCTCACCAACAACACATTCCTATTGATGGCTGCGTCGGTGTATTACCACGAACTGGTGAGCTTTGTTCTATATCTAGAACTTGAAGAAATTATCTGTTGTGTTGTATGAAAAAAGGGGGGTGGGGGGGGGGGGTGTTTAGGTTGAAAAAATATGAAGGGACTGCCTGTGATTGATGACTCATTGTTTTCAGGGGGGAAAAGACTGGATTCCTTTACTCCGAAAATAATCATTGTATGTCAGTTTATGGCTGATGTGAAGCCGATTGACACAAACAAAAAGTCCAAATATTTCCTTGTTTGATTTTCCCTCTGAAAAATGATGTTTACTTTTAGGCAAACCATGCAAACCTTTTTGTTCCTGATGTGTATAGTTGTTATTTTTGTGTTTGAGAATCTTTTCATTTTTGTAATTGTATTCTTTTGCACCTTTTCTCAGAACTATGATTCTGCTTTGAGAACTCTTCACCAGTCTGACAATTTGGAATGGTAAGGACAAAGATACTTCTTGAGACTTTTGAGTGCTGGATCATTTCAGTATCTTAAGGTCAAATACTGTGCCGTAGATGAAGAGCGTTTTGGGTGAACTTTTACGCCTCCATCAGCCCTTGTCAAGGCCAAGCTTTGTTGATTAGGGTATAACATGGCAGCAGACCAATTCAAGTACCTGGAAGAGAGCTAATTTCTTGTAGTGGGATTTGCTCTGGTGTTTTCTGCATGCAAAGTCTAAGAGCCTAATGGCCTAATCGTTGCAGCACAGATGCTGATGAAGAAAAGTTATTGAGAATAAGAATTTATATTGATTCAATATCTTTCAGTGAAGATATAGAAGGACTGCCCTATGTTGAGGCGGGAGTTTGAAGTTCAGAATGCAGCTGAAATTGACTCTTGATGGCCATGAATCGTAAGGGAGAAAATCTTTACCTGAGAACAGATCTGTTGGCAATTTACTTTTGAAGCACAAACAGGATTCATTTTGTCAAAGATAACGTTCTTAGATGATAATAAAGAAAATGTTATGATTTACTCTCCTTTTTCTTAGAGTAATGTACCTCTTTTTTTGTGCTGTCTTTCGCTATAAGTACCAATAAATCTTCACTGTACAAAAATAACTCTTTAACCGAAAGATAACTTAGTCTTATCTGTTGATTATGTGGGATAATTCTACGAAATTATTGATTGTTTTATTTTGTTTTCCAGTATGGCCTTGATGGTTCAGACACTGCTCAAGATTGACAGAGTGGATCTAGCAAAGTACGTTTGCTGTTCTCCCGTAGATGACTTGTGTCGCTCGACCTTGCTCTTTGTGCCGCAGTTGGTGTTTGCTATTTTTAAGCGCCTAAGACTGGAGTGGAGCCTGTCGGCCTACTTGACCCTACAGACCTGAACGTGCACTGTCTTCACCGTTTTTGCACACCGCACCTGCCCCTCAGGGTACCGTGTTGTTATTTTAGCTGTCCACCCGAGGGAGCTCAGGTACACAGATTCTGTAGGGTCAAGAGGTCAGGGCTCCTGAGGTTGATAAGTGGATGGAAGTGTTGTCTGCATCTGTACTTGGCTGCTTCCACAAC